TATACATAATAAACACACATACATATATATGTGTGTATATGTATGTATATATATGTATATGTATGTATATATATATACATATATATATATAATATATATATATACAGGGGTTTATTTATGAATTTGAGTAGCAGGAGAAATTTGAAAGTAACAGGAGAGTAAATTGAAATAGGCAGGGTGTAAGGGAGGAGGGGCCGCCTAGGCCCCCCCCCAATCGGGGTCCAGGGGCAGAGCCCTGGTCGGGGGTCAAGGGGGCGAAGCGCCATTGCGCTCAAGGGTATTAGAGTTTTTTAAGCCCATTTGATGGCATTTCTCTACATCATTTTTTTTAAAACAGTTTTCAGAATCACTAATGAGCTGTAAAAAAGTTGATATTTTTACATATTCTTCATACATAGGCCTAGCCTAAATAGATACTGTAAACCAGAAATTTTCGCGAATTGATAATTTCGGCCGTTTTCGCGACATTAAACTTTCGCGAATCTCAAAAAGCCTTTAATTCATGAGAGGAATATCATACAATAGCTGAAAATATCGTATCGTGAGTTTAGGCCTAGGTTAGATAGGCCTACAGCCACTGTGTAGGCTATATTTAGGCCTTGGCAGGCTTAGGCGCCATATAAGCCTGCAGCCTACCTCAGTTGCTAGGACCAGGACTTAGCTGGCTATCCCAGGCACAGATAAGAAAGAGACAGGTTTACACACCAGTACTCACTCATATGATATTCCTTAATTTTGTATGGCATTCAAGCATCCTACAAAATGAACAATGTTTATCAATGTTTTATTAACAAATTACTTTCCTGTAGGCCTAATATCGATTCAAACACATTGACTGATTGAACATCGGTGTATGTCATATGGTACGGAAAATTAGTTTCCCATTTGAACTTCTTAGTATACACTGCACAGTGGTTGCACATGTGCAATCACATGCAGTGATGATCAGAACCTCCTTGATTAGTATACTTACTGAGTAGGTTAGAGTAGGCCTAGAATTTACGAATTTTTCGAGCTCAACATCGGAATTTAAGGTCAGAATATTGATTCAATAATTGAAATACATTCTTTTTGAAGTTTATACACATTTAATAAAATCCACCAAAAAATAAATGTGAAAATACAATTTTTATAATGATGAAGTTGTTTACTTTTCACAAACGTGTTGAAGTTTGTGGGGATTCACCATTTAGGCCTATGCGCCCTAGATCTGCGTTGAGGAAAACATCTAAGGAGAGCAAAAAATAGTTCTAAAATTTACGCAGATATCGAAAAGGAATGGATACCACATTGGAAAAAAATGTCTCATGTGATGTCGTGAATTGAGACGATTTTGGCTTGCTTTGCCGTTTTAATCATTGTAGGCCTACTATCTATATCTCTGAAACTGTGAGTGTAAACAGTATTCAATATAGTTGGTTCGGCTTGCTACCTCCGCCACCGAGTGTAAACGAATTTGAACCAGTGTTGGTTTTTTTTTTATTATTTATCATTTCCGAAATATCTATGTCATCACAAAGAGGGCTAGTAAAATAAAAAAGAAATGAAAATAAAAGGTTCATAGTCATACACAAATTAATTTTAAAATGACGATCTGTTTTTTTCTTCTCCGCGGTAAGAAAACCCGGAAGCCCGATGTACAGAAAAAGAGTTTGGGCGATGTATATCGTCATCACCTGAGCACGTGGTGGATGAAAAATTTCTATTATCTTATTGGCTAACATGTGATTTGGAGGGGTGGCTTCTTTGATGGACTCACCCAGGCGCGACTGCCGAACTTTGAACTTTAACTTTGTTTACGCCGCGAGTTCATGAAAGTTAAACATGGAGTCTGAAAATTGGTAGACATTTTAACGAACTTTTAACAGAAAGGAACATTGAAATTAGTGCATACTATTGCAAATTAACTTCGTGTAGGTAAATAAGGTTCTTTACAGGCCTGATGCGCTCTTTATATTGGTGGTTTTTGTATTAATTTTTGTACAGCATTGATTGAAGTAGCCGGCGAAAACATCGTAGTAGCCGATCGAATGCGCCGGCCGCCGGCTCTTAAATAAACCCCTGTATATATATATATATATATACAGTCAACTCTCCCAATACCGACCACCCAGAAAACCGGATTTAACGCAAAACCGGTCGTTTTTTAAAGTCCCAAAATCATTCCTATTCTTAGTGTATTAAAATACTTTCTGAAAACCGGATCTCCCA